TTAGAATATGAGGAGTTAGTAAACTATTGTCAGCGGGACGATGGACTGGAACAATAATTAAATCTTTTTCTGTCGGTTCTCGTTTTCGTTTGAGATGATAATGCATAGGATTTGAACGAATGGTTTGTGTTTGAGAATCAGACACGGTTTGAACTTGCAAAATATGAGAAGATTTGCTTTTGAGGGTCTGAACGAATGTAGTTGCAGGAACAAAGTTGTGTAGTGGACTTGAAGGAAGGAATTTGCTGGGAACATCTGAGGATAGATTGGCAGGAGGAGTATCAATTGAGGAAGAGCCTGATGATCTTGGTGTGGATGACCAAAGAGAACTCACGGAATACACGAGAGAAGCACTACTCCACATTAGTCAATGGGCCTGAAGTATCTGAACATCTCTAGTAGAGATGAGAACTTGGCAGGAGAAGAAAGGGGGTCGGCTTCTCCATGAGAGAATGCCTACGGCGAGTAAACACCATCACCGATTGTGTAGTTGCCTTGAATATGACGCCCAAGGTGGGTCGCTTCTTGATGACCTTTAGGATCCTCTCCTGAACTGAACTCGGAGATCGAACATGGGGTCAAAGCGTCGTCACTGAAAACCGAGCTAACGCCTCCTGGAGAAGTATAGTCGAGTTTGGGCGTTGTTGAGTCGACATGCAGTTGAGTCGCATTTGTTTGTTGGAGATCTTTGACCGTTTCCGCTTGCTTGTTGATTTCTTTGAACGAGGGCCGATGTCTCTGGTGGCGAGTATTCGCTCGAAGCGAATGCTTTCCAGAACCTGGGCTTCGTGCAGTGAAGGGCGTCCGGTTATTTAGTTCTGCCATCTTATAACCTCCCGAGTTTTCGTATCGATCAAATGATTCGTCAATGCCGCTTGATGCTCGGGCCAGATGGAGCGAGGTAGCAGTCTCTTCGTTGAGACTCGCTGGTGGCTCCACTGTCCGGTTGCTAGGCGACTTTTGAGTGAGATGCTGGGAGACCTCGAGATGATCATTGGAAACCAAAGACGAAAGATCTTTAAGGCAAGGTGGAAGGTGACCTGAGACATGAGACGGCTGGTCCTGATCAAGGCGTGGTCGTTTTACGGGCCGGCCCTCAATTAATGCATTGGTTATAGGGGGTATAAGTGCTTCCTTGGCTGCTAGGCTTAGAATATGAGGAGTTAGTAAACTATTGTCAGCGGGACGATGGACTGGAACAATAATTAAATCTTTTTCTGTCGGT